GATTATACAGCTTTAGTAAATGATATCGTTCAAATAAAAAAGAACTTTCTTCGCCGAAACATCTTCATTTCTACCTGAAGTTTGTGCTGATGATGTCGTTCAGAAGAACAATGAAAACTCCACAAACAAACCTTCCATCTCTGAGAACAAAACTACAGCAATTCATTTAGTAACTCAGTTTCCGTGGTTAGCAAAAAAAATTAATCCCTGAATAATAACCTCTTGCTAATTCATGATAATGAAATCTAGTGAAAGCACAATTTTTTGTCTGAACAGTAAAATAGATTCAATGGTTGAAATCATGAGTTAATCGAAGCTAAATCACCATGGAAAACCTGGAAGCACTGGACGGCTATTTCGTTCTCCAACAATGCGCATCTACGATCCCACCTCGCAAGATTCAAACCCAGGACCCATTATTCTCGCAGGCGAGCGCTTAACCACTTAACAACTGGGCCGGCATCCAATGGTGTTAATGTCTAACTTCAACCAATACACGAAATTGAGCAACACATTCATCATTGTCTTCAGTGAGTTACTATCTCACAACAGACCTGGTTGAACTCCACTGGTCTCTGCTTATCACTAGAACTCCAAGAAATACCTCTTGAAGCCAGTCACTAGTGAGCATATGTTGATAAATATCAGGTGCTTTTATGGAGATTATAGTAATTTCAATAGTTGAGATCATGAGTCAGTTGAAGCTATATTATCATAGTAAAATAATTCTTAATCTTTTGTATTAATTTAACACATTAAGAACTTTACAATACAAATGTTATTTATATTCTGACTACTTTTAAGTAGGCAATTAATATAAGAAAATTCAAGTCATAGATTAAAGTGTTTTCTACGATGGTTGTTAATTTGAAATCGTTTTGAGTATATAACAAAATATTTTTATATCATAAAAGAAAATTGAATCCATACATTATCAGTAAATTGCGAGGAATCCTTGTCATATTCTAGACAAAATTTATATGAATATACTAAATTGTATGCAAAATCCATTGGCCGGATACTATCAGCAACAGCCTCCGGTGGGAGAGAACAAACTAGCTTCCAGCTGAAGAGGAAATTTGAAAAAGACGATGAGAATGGATAAAACATACATTACGCAAATCGTCAAACTGCATCACGAGGCCAGCCTTAACTTGGAATTCTGAAGGGAAGCCGAAAAGAGGAAGGCCAAAGAACACATTACGTCGGGAAATAGAAGCAGATCTGAAAAGGATGAATAACATCTGGAAAGAGCTGTTAAGGATTGAATGGATGGACAGGGTTGGATGGCGATTGCTGGTGAGCGGCCTATGCTCCTTCACGAGGAGTAACAGGCGTAAGTAAGTAAGTAAGTAAACTGTATATATAACAAGATGTTATTATTATTAGCTTTATTCCATATTATATTTTTCGGCATAACATAAAATTCTCAGCACAAAGTTTTTCAACACGTTTCCGTCTCTTATTACTTAGTTGATCCTGACGATAACATATTGAGTGATCACCAGTTAGAAATTAGCAATTCAGTCAATCGACATCTAAATAATGTACATTCTTTTTACATACATATTTCCAGCAACCACGATATCCCTGATTGAGTTTTTTTGTAACTTGGACAACGAAAGGTTGTACACTTTTCAGAAACGCACTTAAATAGTTTATGCAATTAATAGCCATACTGATATATTAAAACAAACAAAATTAGATAACTTGTTGAAATATCTAGATGGTAAGAACAGATAGGTCAGATGTTCATGCGGACCGCTTGTTTTATTGGTCAGTTAGTCAGATATTTCCATAAGTCATTTAGTCATCAATACAAACGTATGACTTTGAAGGTATGTATCAAATGTTTGATAATCATAGCAGTTATGAAGAGAGCAAATAAATAAATACGAAAAATATTCTAGTAAAAATTTTATTTTAATGCTGAAACTAAATACTTTGAATTTTATGTATTTTAAGAATTCACATGTGTAGTGTTCATTTTATCAAGAAAATAAAATGGAATTCCTGTGATGTAATCAAATATCCATAATGCTAACTGGTAATGTAAATGTAAAAACATTACCATAAATAATTGAAAGAAAATATACCTTTTTCAATGTAATAAAAACTTCAGCATTAACCGAATAGGATTCATGAGTGTATTATATTTAATGTAAGTTTGGATTATATAAAATTTCGGTAGAGTAAAAGACATATGGTTTTAAGGAATTGAATTGGGATTTCATCTCGAATTGAACCATTGTAAACCAAGGTGTATGAGATAGCTGCTTCGTGACAATATAATATTTTTCAGTATTGACAATCCATGCCTCAAATAGCAGTGGAAAACAAGATATTCACAAGGTTGACATTAAATAACTATAACGTCTTGATCAACAATCTTCGTCGAGATTTTAATGAGAATAATGACAATCAAACCTACTGAAGATAACGAAAGATCAAGAAACAACTCTGTCATAGTTATTCAATAATTTCGATAGTGTAATAAGAAGACAAAGATTATCAAAACTACGCAATGATATATTAGCGCAATACATTTCGAACAATCTTATCACATATATACTTGTTAAGAACATTTATACATAAAAATAAAAGATTAACCAGACTAGAAATAGTGCGTAAGAAGAAACAAGGATAATAAAGAAATAATATGAAAACGATTTGAAACATCTTCACTCTGGATAATAAGTTAATATTACTAGGGTAGGTTTAAGGTGAGAACAAACTGCTTTCGGATACACAGAGGGGATTTGAATTTTCGTATGGCTAAGGCTTCAATAAACCTTAGTGCATTCCCTTTTACATTTTTGTACAACATCACAAAAACTGAGTTAAGATCAATCTTATGACCTGTTTCAATTATGTGTCTGGCAAAAGAGGATTATGGATGTTTATCCTCTATTCTTATTGGGTCATTCGATTCTATTTGTTTCTGCAACCATTTAGGTACATAAATGTATTAATATATTTGTAATATCCCAATGTTTTGGTTATTTATTCTCTGAAGAGGTGGCTCACACTAAGTCACGAAACGTCAGAAACTTTAGTTTTTCTATTCATTGGGATATTACAAATACAATAATTTATTTAAAACAATCTACCCACTGCTCGATTTATTCGAAATTATTATGTCAAACCTTGGTAATGATACCTACATTTAGGTACATGTTCATACACTGATTTTTAGATCACTACTACTCCTCCTTTTAGGTTTTCGATGAAGCATGAACCCTGTTGTTTCCTTGATAATCACTTTTGCCGCACAATATGTTTTGTTAATGACTGATTTAAGCCTTTGCTTCAATAAAAGACAATTTGAATCACCTTTAAATGTAAGGTGATGTAGACCGGCTTTTTTTTCAAGGCTATAGTAGGTCTTACTGTACCATGAACTGTGCATCTATTTATGAATTTAAGGGGATAGCCGTTTTGCATTAATGTTTTAGTTAGCAACCTAACACTGTCATCAATGGCGTCATTTGTACAAATACCATCAAGCATTTTGATGGAGTTTTGTTCTCTGAGCTGGATAGTTCGGTTGTGAAGCTTTCATTGTTCTTCTGAACGACATCATCATCAAAAACTTCCGATTGAAGTGAAGTGTTCGAATTTCTCCATATGCATTTCACAGCTTGTTCTGTACACCTCGACGTTGGTTGGTTCTTATTGACCGATCAAGCCTGCTAATTAGGCACCTAATTGGTTTGATTTTTGTTCCTGTGTTTGTGCATAATTTTCCTGTTTGGTTGATAAATTGGATCGATCTGAATGTGCTTGTTGATTACTGATTGACCTGAGTGCTAGGGTTCTAAAAATTCTCTGGTTCTTTCGGAATTTCCTCTATCCAAGATTTCCACATTTTTCCAATCAATTGAGTGTCCGCATTGGAAATGGAAATGTAATACTGAGATTTCTAGTGGATTTTCAGAACATTGGAGTTGAAACACGTTATTTATGAAACATATCAGCAGTCCTATTCAGTAACAGATGCGCAGTATTAAGAATTATTTTATTATAGTACAAAAGTTTAATAAACTCATAAACCAATAAAAATGTAAAATTAACGCAGTTTTCTTTCTTCTACAATGACTAGTTTCAGTATTTTCGGTTATGAATAATAAGCTTTGTTTCTTTCAACATAATTTTCCTATTTTGATTGCTATAAACCTTTCCTTTGAGTAATACAAAACCTTCAGGGAAAGAATATTAGGTATGTTGGATACATTATACTCCCCTTTTATATTAAATTTACTAAACATGTATAATTGAATGAGATATTGTTGTGATAAACTTTGCTGTCTTATTTCATCATCACAATACATGAATGCGATTATGATAGAAATTAAGTTTAGCCGTTTGGCTTGATTTTACTAGTCATGGTTTTTGTGGGATACTATTTTAAAATGATACACATGGAGAGTTAATTAGAAAGGAACATATATGACGTGAGTGTTAGCTTTCATTGTTCATAACTATATTCCACATGAAGTTAAATTCGAAACACTATCTAGTTTCAGAGTGGTATACTCAATCTATTTTTATTGTGTCCAACTATCCAAAGCTTTACATGGTTTACATTGTTATTTCATGACTGTTGAATTGATTTGATTTTATTTCAGTAGGATTATTTCAAAATAACCTAAGCCTAATAGTGGAAATTTTTTGACAGACTATTAAGAATATAGTGTAGGTGTTTGTTCTGGCAAAAAGAAATAAAACGTGGTTTGAATGCTTTCCTGATATTGTAACTGTGAACACATGCATGTGGTTTTATCAATACAAGTGAAAATAATGTACATCATGTGAAAATTCATATAAACAATGAAACGTAAGTGAATATTCATACGTATAATTTCCAGCTTAGGTGGTTTATGTATACGCATACGTTGACGCAATACAATTTACCATTATGCATACATACACAATAATCATATGGGTTATAAAAAAATGTCGTAGTTATAACGTATGAATTGAGAATGTAAGATGTATTGTTTACAAATCCAGCAAATAATTAATGTGAATTATTTCTAAGTAAAATATGTTAGTGTGTGCTCAGAGTAATCACTATCGATAAGTTTATATATTGATGTAATTTCTTTAGTTCTTTGACAATTCATGTAGCTTGTTGAAATAAGACTAGTCTAATTTATTGTAAAGTTGTATATAATTGAACGGCGTAATGAAAGAATAATATAATTATTGATTTCTTGGATTGTTTTCCCATGGATATTTTAACAGATACATTACATGCACTACATATGAGATACCCTGAGATAAATTTATTTTTCATCAAAATAAAATCTATGGTTTCTTACTGATTAACTAAAATTTCCTTTTGATGGATACCTATATAATTGTCCTCAGTACAATTATCTGTATTATATTTCTATTTTATGCATGTAACAATTATAAGCAATGACATCTAGTTCATCTCCAATGCACAATAATTGTAATAGCAGTTTTAATGGTAGCGGCTCTATCAACGGGACTTTGTGCAGAACCGGCAGTCTTGGATTTATTGATGAAGTGCTACGTTACTCTGGAACTAAACAATATATATTCTTACAAGCTCACGTCTGTGCAATTCACCAAGTGACTTTAGGAGATATATCAGATTTTCATGAAACAGATGCTTTAAGCTATATTGATAGATATTATAAAAAAAGAAGAGCTCATTGTACTGCAGCTTTACTAGAAGATCGAATTTGTTTACGACGTGTTAAACAGTCGGGAAAAATGCCATTTCATCCATGGGTTGTATATAATGAAATAAAGTATATATTCATAAGCCGGAAACGACCTGAATACTTTGTCTTGTGTATCGATTCAAATCATGACCGGAGAAAATACTATGAAATATACAAATGTAAATCACCTGATGATGTTAAACAAATTGAAGAGAAGATGAAAGCAGCAATGAGAGATCCTGATAAGTTACTACGTAAAATGCATATTTTAAGCCGTATTAGTTTACCTCCTAAAAATAATGTAAATCAAAAAGAGTTGGTTCCGAAGATCATGGTAGAAGATGTAAGTAAATTCAATGGTGAAGATAATAAAAATATTTATAGTAATATTCATGATAATAATAATAAAATTCGTAGTAATAATAATCGTAATAATAATAATAATCGCAATAATAATAGTAATAATAATAATAGTGGTGGTGGTAGTAGCAGTAATGATAATAAAATCGGTAGTGCTGACAATGAAATCGATGTCAAGAAAGACAAAAAATCTACTAGTTCCATAAGTCCCGTCACACCAGTGAAAGATTTAACTCTTGAATCATTGAATGAAAATTATGTTGTATCTAGTATTTCAATTACTCCCATCGAATTTTTTCATCATTCACCTGAATCATTAATTTATCAAATAAAACAAAGTTTATACGAACCATCTCAGAATACACATTCACTATCCCATTCTATATCATCAGAAAGTGGAGATATTCATCTTGAAACTCGAATTAATGATATAATAGATAAAATAACATTTATTAATCATGATCCACTAAAAGGATTTTGTGAAAGTCAAAGTGGAAATTTTTATATGTTTCTAGACCGTCAAGAATTTCATTTGAATAAATACATTGATAGAGAAGAGAGTTTTATCATATCTAATCAAAAAGAATGAGAACTTTAAAATTACCGCTTACTATCAAAGAATTATAAATATATTTCGTATTACTTCTTCCTCTTCCTCTTCTTCTTCTTCTTATGTTCATGACAATCATTACAATAGTATTTTCTTCATGATTATTATATTGTGCTATAATGTTCATTGATACAAAATTGACTTATCCTTTCATCATAATTACATTTCTAAAAAAGATGAAGTATTTAAACGACATTGAAGATGATACAATTTGATAATAGAATGAATAAATCTTTAATATGATAAACATATGCTGAATAAATCAAGAATCATTTAAAGAGAATAACAAAAGTAAGATTTGGAATTTTCATCAACTAGATAATGTCCTATCAACAACTTTAGCATTTCAATGTATATTAAACTATTTTTTTAGGATACATCCATATTTTTATTGAGAAATGTAATATCTTGTGAATCATTTTGACATTTTGTAATTAAAGTGAGTGTTGTATTATTTCATTAGTTATTTGTATGTACTGATATTGTTTAGATAAAGATTTATAAGTATAGAGTTATTAACATCATACTTACTTACTTACACCTTTTACCCTTCACGGCGGAAGGAGCATAGTTCGTTTACCAGCATTCTCTATCCAACTCTATCCTGAACATATTAGCATTATATAGACAAATATTGTTTTCTAGTTAATCGGCCAACATTTTAGAATATAAATTTTATATACACAAATAAATTCCCTAGTTTTATTAATCAAGAAAAAGAGATAGCTAGAATAAACATGTTTGGATTGATTATATAAGATCAAAACAACAAGTAAATCCATAGTGTATAATTTAATAAGAATCATTAAAATATACCATAGATGATTTAACCTGAAAATAATTTTGTTAGAATTAAAGTTGAATTTTATGAAACTGCCTTCAATGAATAGTTGGAACCCTAAAAATCGTTTGATCACAAAAAATCAACTGTTTTTGGAGGATTGATTATATTTTCCTCAAAGTTTTTTTGAATATACGTTAATTGCTTCGAGTAACGCTTGTGAAATATTTAGTACTGATTTATTAGATTTTATTATTCTCAAACTGAACATAATGCTTTTGAATACGGATAGATTAAAAGCAGGAAAAACGGTTGAGTTTTACAATGAACAACAGTGCAACTATTCTATGTTCGATCTCATGAAATAAAATGTAGGTAATTCTAACGATGTATGACAGTGAACAAAAAACAGATGTTGATATGACAACATTTTTCAAAGGATTTTTCGTAGATCTTTGTAGTTAATTGAAACAAGAATTGATTTTCCAGTCACGCGTTTTAAACTGCACTAACAATTCTAGACAGAACAGTTACAGTCACAAGTTGAAATTCATCAGTTTAAACAGTTTTATGGTAGTTGACATTTCTGTAAGAACAAATATACAGCCTAAACAAAGTTTTGTTTTCATTGAGATCCTGTTATCTTACTTGATACTTTGAAATAAATATACATTTGCTTAAACGAGCGTAAACTATTCATAGTAGGATGTTAATACTTACTTACTTACTTACTTACACCTGTTACTCCTCGTGAAGGAGCATAGGTCGCTCACCAGCATTCTCCATCCAACCCTGTCCTGGGCAATCCTTTCCAGCTCCTTCCAGTTGTAATTCATCCTTTTCATATCTGCTTTTATTATCCGAACTAAGAATCCCAGAAATAACGTAATAGGATCAAGAATTACTAGATAACCACAAACGAATTTACTGTATTTAGTATTCGAAATCAAGCATTCAACAACTACAAAGGAATCATTATTTCATTCAAACACCACAGTTAATTGATTGTAGTGTATGTTTTCCTAAATTGATCAATAAAAACAACGTCTTGTTCTTTTCCTTAGACCCAAGGTAGTGAAAATATAAAATACAAATGGAAAACTTACTGAAGGCACTAAGAAATGAAATTAGGTTTACAACTATTGAGTACAAAATCATGTACAATATCCTTAAGAGAAGAGTACGAATAGCATATTAAATAGTGATGAACCAATAGGGGTAAGTTTATTTGACTGCAATAAAAATCAATTGAGAATGTGAAATCAGAATCACAAAGAAATATATGATAAACTAAAAGTAAGTGAACTTTAGGGAATAAACCATCTTCTGCGTACGGAATTCGTTTCAGTATATTCTTGTTGGTGCACCATACTTTGTTCGTGATTTCTTTTCAGTTTCTGACTCCTGACTTTAATTTGCTCAAATGCAATTGTTGTCTCATTTGTCTACTGTAGTCCTGAGCCTATTGTGCGTAGTATTTCATTTGATATTTTTGATAAAATGTTTGTTGCTTCAACTTTAACTGTAATGGTAAAATTATTTTCAGTTAATTTTGTTGTAATTTGTATATTTACCAATTAGCTATGATACGGTGTTAAATACAAGTGAAGAAATACATTATGAAAGCAAACCAGATTTTCCTTTCTTAGTGAAAATAAAACTGCAAATAAAACAATCCCCTTTAAAACAAAACGATAACTTATCTCACCCTATTCAGAGAGTTAGTAATGCGTTATTGAGCTACGATCTCCAGGTAATTGAATATAGATTTTGAGATATTGTAGTTTACTAAGCATATGAAGAAATTTTTTGATTTCGCATGATATCTTGTCCACGGAAAACTTTCGGTGTACTTTACACCAACGTCTTGGTTATCCGTCAACCACGGACGTTTCCTATTGACATTAGAAATAATCTTGTAATACTAACTATTATTGGTAATTGAGTTCAGATGTGACACTAATTTTCTGTCAGATCACTGTCAAATATCCTTCAAATCTTAATTTCATGTTAGGGTAGATACCTTATTAATGGTCGTTTTGTTATTATTGCACATTACCGTAAAATAATTTAGCCTTTCATACTATATGCTTCAGTACAGTTTTCCGACACTATTCTTATTAAGACTCCGAGTAACAATGAACAAAAGTTTTGGATTACTAACATAAGTAAATGGAGAAAGGAAACACACAGAAACCAGTATTATATCTCATGTATTAGACAAAGATCACGTAACTAGAATCATAGAATAAGTTGATTACCTTGATTTTTCCAAGATTCACTTGAATATTCTGAAAAAATGGACAGCAAATCTACTGAAAATTTTATAGTTAATTTATAAACAACCACACATTATAGTTTTAAAATGTTTCCGGCCTGGCATTTGTATCCGAGAGAATAGTGTAATAAAAACCTATTTAAGCTGGTGAAGATTATTTTCAATAATTATTTTAAGCTTCTATATATTCTTATCCCTACCCATCTGATGATTGTCACTTTTTAATCTAGATTTATCTCAATTATAACTTCTGACTGTATAGACGATTACCTTGAAATTATAATTCTTAGTTATTATGCCCACGGTCCACTTAATTTAGGCAACTAGATTTTCAACAAACAAAAATTACATTAATTGAAATCATGAGTCAATTCAAGCTAGACCACCACAGAAAACCTGGAAGCACTTGGCGGCCGTTTCGTCCTAGCATGAGACTCCTCAGCAGTGCGCATCCACGATCGTGTACCCCGCGAGATTTGAACCCAGGACCTATCAATCTGTTGTGAAATATCAACTCACTGAAGACAATGGTGTACGGTAGTGCAATTTCGTAGATTGTTTGAAGTTAGACATTAACATCGTTGGATGCCGGCTCAGTGGTCTAGTTGGTTAAGCACCTGGCGCGAGACTGATAGGTGCTGGGTTCGAACCTCGCGGGGTGCGGACTGCTGAGGAGTCCCATACTAGGAAGAAACAGCCGTCCAGTGCTTCCAGGCTTTCCATAGTGGTCTAGCTTCAATTGACTCGTGATTCCAACTATTGAAATTTCTAAAATCTCCACAAAGCCCATTCTGATAAAAGAAAAACTAATCACATTCACTCAATATGGTTATTCGAATAAACTGTTTTGTTTGCAGTAATTTTTTTTGAAACATTCATTTCAGCTTAAACATTTTTAAAATTTCTATTTAGATTATTCTTTGTAATTTTAGGCTGTTTGATAGCAATATCCTATCAGAACTTCATTTGCTTTTACTTCACATATAAATCATTTACAAGAGTCCACTGTCTTCCAAAATCGAAATAGTTCTGATTACCCTGAAGCCATAAACTCTACATTGTTTTTCGTAGTTGCAATCATGCTTTTTGTGGACGTTGGTTATTCAATGAGTATAAGAGAATGTCATATCTGTATTTTCCCAAACGTCAGTTGAAACTTATCAATCAAGTTACAATGTAGTCATTAATCTAAATGATTCAGGATCTCTTATTGAGTGTTATATCAGGCCTTCTAAGGTAGTCGATACTAAATAATAAATAAACATTACGTTATTTAGTATTCAGTGAACAGTCAGTGTAAAAAATCACAATCCTTCAGAATATCATCAACAGCATTCAGTATTAAAATCTCTGTGAAACTGTATTATACATGTTTGAACCACATAAAACGTATTAGTTTCTTATTGATCACCTGATGTGATTTTCTGATAAGTATTAACTTGAACAAAACTCAGTTTTAAGGCTTTCACTCAAATAACTCCAGTAACCTTAAAAATCTTCCAGTGACTCTGTACAGAAATTCGTTGAGTAGTTTAATGTTAATAATATAATGTTCTTAAGGTTTTTATATCTTCATTTAATAATCAAGGCGTTTGTAGTACAAACCTCTTACTATAAATTAATTGTCAATAAGCCCTGTTCTGTATTTAATTATGTTTTATTAACTTTTTTCTTTCAAGTTTATTACTTTTGAATAATTCTACTGTAATTTGAGTCGATATAAAAAGACAGTTTATAAGAGAATTCTAATATGTTTAACCTGTTTTTTTGCACATTTTCAAATTTCCTTTGATTGAATAATCATTGGGAAGTACATTCGTTTTAAAATTGTTTTTTTTTTTAAAAATGTGTATTTGAGATTATTGAAAGGATTTACTGAATACCATAGAGCATTGAATAACCTTTTTATCGCAGACTAAATCTATTCATCTTCCAGTTTACATTTTCGAAATTATGTCATTCAGTCAATACAAATTTTAAAAAAAACATCCATTATTATTACCAGGGTTCGGTCTGATACTTTTACATAAGTTGGAAAATAGAGAGACTATAATAGAATTAATGATATGTTTTTAATATCTCAATGAGAAGAAAGTTAAATTCCTGTCGTTTACACGTTTGTTACACTATACTAATGTGTCTTCAACATAACTTCTAACTAATTTCTTTCATGTAAGTAATTTAAACCCATTTCGTAATTTTGTTTTAGATATAAGTTGTAAGTAGATGACAAAAACTAACAAAATAAAATGACTTCACGCTGTTCTACTTGAATCGTTGTTCTCACTCTTTTCAATATGATAAATGAATCTATGTGTATGAAGGTGAAAATTATTTATTTACTTGTTAACTCTGAATTAAAGCCCTACATTAAGTTGTGAAACGTCAAAATTTAGCTTTATACTCGTTGAGATACTACAAACATATCACTAATTTTGTTAAACATATAATTCAGTTTACAAACGTGGATCATTTATAATGAATAAGTAAATTAAAACAATGTGTTGTATTCCGCTTGGTCTTTGTTTTGCTAAAGTGAATCCAACTACTAACTATTTATTTAGCGACAACAAAAATTAAAATTATCAATGAGAATGATATACCAAAGCCCGTACGGTATGATTATTTTATATGCACATTGTTTTTTAATTACATGTGATTTAACTAAGCTAGCATTACAAATATAAATTATGTAACATGCGTATTGATTTTTTAGTCAGTGAAACTTCAATGGTATATTACGTGAGATCAAGAAAACATAGGACAGTTACAATCTGTACTTAAACGTAACTAATCAACTAATGTATAGTTAATCTTTCTAATTAGAATCTTTGGAAACAAATGAAACCTTTCATAAATGTGATAACTTTTACAGTTTTGTTTAATTAATGTGATTAACATATTGCAGTTGTATCATTATTATAATCTTTGAAGAGATTGTATAATATAATAATTGAATTCGTGAGTCAATGAAAGCTAAATCACTATGCAAAACCTGAAAGCACCGGATGGCCGTTCCGTCTTAGTATTGAACTTCTTAGTAGTGCGCATCTACGATCCCGTTCTTGGGATTTGAACCTAGGACCTATTGGTTTGGCATGTGAAAGCTTAACTTCTACGCCACTGAGCCGGCATCCAACGGTGTTAATGTATAACTTCAAGAGGAATTTCCTGGAGTTCTAGTAAGAAGCTGTGACCATTGCAGCTCGACCGGATCTGTTGGGACATAGTAACTCACTGAAGACAATTTCGTGGATTATTTGAAGTTAGACATTAACACCACTGGATACCGGCTCAGTGGTCTAGAAATTAAGCTTTCGAAAGCCAAACCGGTAGGTCCTGGGTTCAATTCTCAACAACAAGATCGTAGATGCGCACTATTAAGAAGTTCAATACTAGGACGGAACGGCCATCCAGTGCTTTCAGGTTTTCCATGATGGTCTAACTTTAATTGACTTATGAATTCAGCTATTAATTTCCTACAAACTCCATAAAATCTTTTTCTGATTATATAATTATCATTTGATGTAGTTCCATAATAGAAATAATTACATAAAATAGAAAAAGAGATGACGCTAGTTAACATCACTTAACAACTATGGATCACGATTAACTTTGAATGGACTATTCAATTATGTTTGAAGATTTATTTATGTATTCGAAAAAGAACATTTTTTTTCCATGTAACTTAAATGAAATGGTAATGGCATTTTATCAAATTTACTGAATTGTCTTTCAGATTTCATTTTTTTTATTTATTTATTAAAATGTTAACATTTAACATAAATTCAAAATTTGAAAATTAAGTTTTACTCAATACTATCACTACGGTTACTAAATTTCAACTAATTTTCTCCTTATTTTTTATTGAAATTTTTTTTCTGGCTCATTGCCAAATGTACATATATATATTACTTTATTGAGTATTGATTTCCAATGTGATCAAATAAAAAAATATGAAAAAGTTCATCAATGGTAAAAAGAACTTACTAGATATATTTAGACGAAATTGTATTATATATATACTTACGATGATGTTTTCCTGTACATGATGAAGGTATTATGACCTTATTGAAGAAAAAAATGTATACACTTAGTTATACTCTTTATAGGACTTTACACTTTAGGCTTATCCAAAGTTTGCTGGATTATGAAATGAAACTTCATATTGAATTAAATAGAAATTATTAATAAACATAACATGAGAGTATATTGTTGATCAATGATTTCCTGTACATCTTATTTGCATAAAAGATATATTTCACAAGTAAAAGTACCAAGTAGAATTGTGAATGATTTATCATTGTTAGATAAATAATAAATCTTATATGTATCTTTTGAAGTAAACTTACTGAGTTTATTGTAAGGTATACATTACTACTTTTATCTATTTAGAAATTAAATGTACATTGATAAATAATATACTACTGGGCAATTAATAATAATTTTAATAAAAATGCTTTCCATTAAAAATGTTATACTCACAATTTGCACAATGAAGGTTTTCTGTGTCGATGCTGAATATCACATTTGGTCTGGTTTACTTATAGTTTACCGATATTATTATATCATTTTTATGAAAATAATATTGAACTGTAAGCAATGATAAATAGTGGCTAGCAATGGAACTTATGATGTGCGTTTCGTCCTATTTGGGACTCGTCAGCTGGGTGTACCTGCATCTCAGATCTGATGTTCACTCTGGCACTCGAACCCAGTACCACCCGCTTCAAGCGCCATCGCGTTATCCACTCAGCTACTGAGTCCTGATAGCCACTTGCTTGTTCAATGATGTGAACTTAAATTCACAGAGTGATCAATTGCAGTCTTAAACCTCAATGGGAAGATACAAGTCAAACAACACCAAGTGAATTTAATATTGAACTGGCTAGTATTGTCACCATATGTATTTAATTGCAGAAACCAAAGTTATTAATTTTTTTCAAAATCCCAAAATGTAACGAAGTCCATCAGTCTTATGTAGCAGAAAAAAAGTTTTCTTTTTGATGACTTTATTCACTAAAGCTGAACAATTGTATTACTAATGATTTATTAAAGAAAGCAGTTTAATACCAAAATAACTATATAATTATGTGTTCAAAGATATCAAGTCACATCAGACGTCACGTGGTAAGCTTAAATAAAAATAATGTAACGAAAAGGAATTACGGCGTGCAGCGTTTGTAGTCACAGTTTATGCTTGAGCTGTAAAATTGGCAAATCGTAAATAGTGTACACGTTTGCACCGTTCGAGTCGACTCGTTCAGGTTTATCAGTTATTATGAAAGAGAATTTTGGTGAATCAATGTGACCTAAAATGATGTTATTCTTGTTTTTACCTGTTTAACAGTCATTTCGTATTCCGATATACATTTGCAAAACGTTCTTTTTGTGTGACCAGCGTAATCCACGTCAGAAGACCAAGTAGACTAACAAATTAAGCATAAAGTGGAAAACTATACTTAACATATTCATGAATGACAGGATTGATAGAGAAGTCGGTACGATGCTTCGCAAAAGGGTTTTTCAGTTTTTCGACATTTCTATAACCGTACCCCCCTAAAACGTGATATTCATGAAACGATATTTCTTTTGAAATCTCAGAGATCTGTCAGGTTATATTTTCAATCTGAGATCCTTACCCATGAACCTGGATATGATGTCAACGGAGAAACAAAAAAGCCATGACAGACAACGTAAGCTATTTTTGAGACGTTAATTCACTTAACTCGAAGCTTGTAAAACGCTAACACTTATTTTTGTCCCTAATTTATTATACACACTATAGGCTTTCGTTTGCCTAGTTCTGGACATTAAAGAATTTTCCAATCGTTTGTGCTTTGTGGTCACATTAGTCATTTATATTATTCAGGTATCTTTTTGCACCAATCTGTGTCAGACCTGAATCCTAGTGTGCATCTAGCGTGGAATCCGAATCGGGAATAAATCGAGTAGGGTTTATAGTTGACTTGTCTTCTCACTCATGCGCTTGTCAACCAATCAGGTAACAGAACAGTTTTCGTCCCTTTACTCAGGGCACTTGGTCTTACTTCAAACGCGCGCGTTTCCAGCCTTAAGGTTTAACCAGCAAGCCTATCTATCGTGTGAAGGTCTTAATCTAGATTTAGACATGTTCTTTTCTATATATTAATGGGTCGACGTAACAAGATTATAGTAACATTCCTACAATTGATTTTGTTCAGGTTTAATTTTGTCAAACTCTTCAATTAACTTATTTAACAGAAAGTGTTACTCGAACAGTAATAATTCGTCTATTCCTTTGTATTATTATAATCACTACATGTTTGTACAAACGTGTATGCATAATCACATGTCACAGCCTACGCACATATCTCTCTCTACCTTAATTGCTTATCGCTTAAGTATCACTCGATAAATCATTCTCTATCCCAGATATACATGCGCTCGAATCTTAATAATTGTCCTTGTCTTGCTTCGCTTCGCCTTGATTCGATTTGACTATAAATCCGCCTCTGGATTTGCTTACTCGCGCGCACTGACTTCTTTGCTCCGATTTTTTCAATGTGCTTGTAACTCTGTTATACTATAGATGCCGCTTCGTATTGCTTTCTGAATCCGTACATCGTTGGGATTTATTTAATAACGGTTACCGAGGTGATTGATAAGCGAGACCTAAAGAATTATATCGAGGCCAAGCCACTACAGTGTAGTTGCCGTTTCTCATTATTTCTTATCAAAGTTTAATTAGTTCATAGTTCATTATGTCATAGAGCTTATTAGTTTAGTCCGTAACGGTAAAGACTGAGTTAATTTTATTGTTATCTTCAATGGGACTCAGCTCGGAAACTAATGTATTGTCCATTCCAAGTTTGTCTTCTGTATATAGATCTTTGTAATCAATCATCCAACCTTTTGCTTAATAAGACATCGCTTCTACTGTGAACTTAAGTGATTTGTGACAACTATTGAATAATTAAGTACATTGAAGGTGCATCGTGAAAGTGGTCCTCAAATAGTAAAATCTTTGGAATTAAGTAAAAAGTATTTCTTTTCAATATGGTCTGATTCATTCATCCATTCATCCAGCCAAATAGCGTTTTGGCATTTTAGCTGATATCAGTTCGTGATGAAAACTCTAACCTTAACCATCAAATGTAAGTCATAATTCTAATTACTCACACTGATTTATAACCGTCATTTAGTTCTAGTTGGTAGGTAGACATTCTCAAGGTCACCTAAACGTCGCTCAAAGGTCGCCCACAAATTATAGTCTCACCTTCATAACCACTATGGGACATAAAAGTAAATTATTCTTATAAATCCTTCGGAGGTCATATAGTCCTGGAATACCAAAACCGAATAACCTTAAACTTTATAAATCACAACCGGTGGTTGACTCATGCAATATTTTTCTCTCAATTTCATAAAAGTTTAATTTTCATGTAATTACTATCTTGTCTTTCAAATAACTTATTCTTTTTAACGAATAACTTTTTTCACGACTGAGATGTACCTTTTTAAAGGCTCTATTTGTCACTAATTAGTTTTATATACAATTTGATCATCTTTGAATGACATTCGGATAAAAATATATGTCTTTTCGGGTTTGTAAACTTTCATTCTTCCATGGTATTCAGTGTTATAATTCTTTGTAGAAACCTGAAGTCATTCATTTTCTTGAAGACTTCTATTGCCATCTCTATTTTCCACAACCAATTCGATTCTAATATAAACATCGCAAAATTCAATAACATGAACAAAAATAGAGTTTAGCTTCATCACATGCTACCTCCAACTAAAGATAGGAAGTTACATTCAAAGATATGTAACTTGCTACGACACAAAAACCAGCTTCAACTCATTTTACTGGATATTTTCTCAAAAATCTGTACCTCTAAAGATGAGATGTTGTTTGAAAAGAAGTTCAAATAAATCATTTTATGCCAGGAATATTTTTATTTTCCTTTTGTTTAAATGAGTGATATGCATCAGGGCTAAGTGGAATCTTCGGAAAGTAGTTCTGTACTAATTTTCATTAGATTATGTTTTCTTGGATTTTGAACAGAACCTTGTATTACACTTAAACTAATCGATGTTCTTGTTGATTCTTTGAATGTTTCATCTAATAAATGGACCAAAGTAAGATATTAGACACTGAAATCAGATTGCGCTATTCTAAAACAAATGGCTGCAGACAAAATGTAAGAAGTTTCAAGATATACAAGATTTGGAAAACGATCTGGCTCTGTCGAAAATAATCCAATCGTCACTATCTCAGATAAAATAGAAAAAAAGAAATGACTACCACCAAAATAGCAAGTGAAATGAATTTTAAAAATTAAACTCGCTCTTAATTGTTTTCAATAGTTGAAATCGTGAGTCAATTAAGGCTAGACCATCATGGAAGCCCTGGATGAACTGTATGGAACTCCTCAGCAGTGCACGCCACTATATACACTTAACTATCAATACATAATTCAACTAGTGATCAAGTAACTTTTATTTGCTGTATCTTAGTTGGAACTCTACATAGTTCTCAAGCTTTGTCAAGTTCTTAATAAACTGTTACGTCATAGTAGATCAATAGTTTAGAGATCAATCTGAGTATATAAAAGTCAGTGATAAACATTATTTGAAATGACACAGAAAATATTTAGTTTAGATTCTAATAGTGAAACTTTTATGATTTTGACAATTTCTGTTGGGTTTATTATATTAACAATAACTACAATGGTTGTAAGTTTTTAAAACACAATTCACCGAATTTACAGTTACTAATTGATTTATTTATCTTACATCTTAGAAGACTGGGTATTCAACAGGTATATCACAGAATTATGGATGATAATTAATCAATTAAACAACTACATCGTAATAATAAATCTAATAATATGGATTATTAAATATAGCCATTAGATAATCCCCTCTATATTTGACTTTGATTTATTCGGATTTAATATCTAACTTACTAACTGTTCTTTACTATAAATGATCTCAAACGTTATAAAGAATTTTTAAATTGAATGTTTTCCTATCATCAGTTCACTATTGGTTACACTTTTGACTATCGAATTTAATCGATATTATGAGCCACCTTGACTATATTAACACAAACATACACACACCCATTGATCTTCCAGTTAACTATCTATTATCGGTCTTAAACAAACCAACGGAAATGTGTAGAAGGAATTTGATTTCATTCAATCGTAAAAAGATTGATCGATAGTAAATTTAAAATCATGCTATTAATCAATCGTTGCTTATTGTTCATACTTACGTCATATTATTACTTAAACAAAGACACAACAGTCTAAATGCGTATGTGTGAAAAAAGAATGATCAGTATCAAAGGACAGACGGGACATTGGTGTACAGTTACCCATGTTGATAGCAATAATATTTTAATGATCTACTATTGTAAATTCAATATTCCATGTTTGAAATTGATATTTGTTGGTTTATAACTCTAACAGCAACAATAATAATAATGATAATTTATATGTTTGAGATCAATATATACGTATACATGTATACAGATATGTTTTATTAGCTTGTAACAGTATGTTTAGTGTAAAATACACAACAAATCAAATGTGTAAAGTATCCTATATTGATAAAGATTAAGTTTAACTTGTTATCTAAAAAAATATAAAGGATCTGTTTTCTGAGTCTAGTTCATTTTATTTCTAGACTTTAATAATGAAACGAATAAACAATAGTAAAAGGACTTATATAGTATGAGATATTAATAATAATGTAACTCATAGTGCATTTTTAAAGCATAAACGTGTATTCGTTTTACAACGGCATATATAATTTCACGGTAAACTATTATGCACTTGTGACAGAAAACTGATGATAACAGGAGTTAAGCTCTGGAATTTTTTTTATTGAAAATGAAATTCCACCCTTGAAATTGAGAAACAAATAGCTTGATTAGGATTCACGACCCTCAACAAAAAATAAACTTATTGAATTCTAGTTAATCATTGTAGAATCCAAACTAAGCTTTGGACTGAAGAATAACTATTTAGGTAGTTAAGATACGCGCTATTACCCAGTTGAAACCAAAACAAGGTGATTGCGTCAATGACAGTTCTAGATTTCATCATAAATATAAATGTACCTAAACAAATATTACTACTCAGTTATTCAACCCCTATTTGTTCAATTAATCAAATCTAAATTACAATAAATTAACAAGTGGATAAAGCATGTAAGAAAATTACCAAACGCAAGAGATAAATGTTATTCTATCCTTTCTGGATAGATCACGTACAGATTCGTTCGAAAGGTAATATTTGTTTGCCTTATAACACAGAGTGTTTCCAATTTTGGAAGAGTGCCTCAATTCACAATCAAAAATGCATAGTTCCAGTCAATACAAGCAACAAAATCAAAAGGAGGAACACACCAATATGGCTGCCGCCAAGACTAAGTATCCAGTAAAACAACATAAATCCAATTCAGAAAGAAACATGGAAACTCAGTGAAGGCGTAAGAAAAATAAAAACTATAATAAAATACAAATATTATCATCTCAAACGGAATCAAAAAGACTTAAAAGATATACAACTGAAGGAATCAACTGGAAGAAATTACAAGTGTATACATGGAGGGATTTCCACACACAAAACCTTCAAAATGAATCTTGCAATCACCTTAAATTGTAACTTTTGATACATTTCAGCTGAGATTTTCTCATTGGGTTAACAAACTGATACTTTGTTACCGATTATAAAATTGGGATATTTTCTTAATGACACTATAGCAACTAACGCACGATTGAGTTGGTTCACATTTAATTCGGTTAAGTTATTTCGTTAACTTATTAACGAACTGAGTTATCCGTACAACAACAACTTATCTATATCATTGTATCTTTATTATTGTTGTGAATGTATGAACATGTATGCTTGAGCATTACTTACTGCCTACGCATTTATTCACGCTGCTAGCCTTACTACTCACCCTTTAATCGATTCGATGATTCATTCATTTCACTATTTATATTTATATATATATATATCCATGTTATTCATGTTCATTGCTCTCTATCGCTTAATTGTACTCGCTTACTCGTAATCATATTCGCTGACTCACTCGCTCGCTCGCTTGCATCCTTGCCTTTCAGTGCAACTCTTTCATGCTTGTTTAACGCACCTGTAATTTTGGATAACTGTGTGTGGTCCCATAATAAACGTAATCAACACTTCGTATTCGCCTTCTGATTGATATACCGTTGGGGTGTTATCTGGTGACGGTTATCAAGACGAACTGTATACGAAGTTTAAGGATTATATTGAAAACCGACCAGCACCACACAATCTAATTAAACAATTACAAATAGAAAAAAATGGACATTTTCAATATCTTTAGGATGTTCACTGAAGCATTATGTTTATTAACTCAGTTCTACTGAATACTGATTGATTTTTAATTCTTAATACCGAATAATTAGGTTTATCATTTGTTTTGACAGTTTTCACTTTTGAATTCGCTTTTAATCTATCAGTACTTATTTCGAAAATCGACGGTATAAACATCACAAATCACTGTTATCATAACTCCTTTTAATCTCCAAAAGATTGTTCACAATTACTCGAATAAGCTGAAATGTTAATTGAATTTTTAAAGCGAATATGATTTTCTTTTCATTTTGTTTAAACTTTTATTAATTTCACAAAATAATAAATAAGAACTTTAGTCTAAAATTGAATGAATAGTTTCACAGTATTTGAGCGCTGAGTTAATGTGAAACATGAAAGAGGAAGAATGTTGTATTTGTAAAATCTTAGCGAAAGAATTTTTCAAGCTTTTCCTTGAAAAAACTTGGACCAGATTGCTAGGTGAAAGGTTGGATTTACTTTATATTCTTTCGCTGAGATTTTACAAATACAATATTCTTCCTCTTTAATTTTATTAATTTCACTTTAATGGAACAGTTAATGATTTGGAAAATCGGAGTATAATTATGGATGGGTATCAAAATAAAATGAAACATTTACTCAAGTCAAATTGAACTTAGATTAGAAACGTTTTTTTTTATTTATTATGAATTTCTTTCATACCTCGTCCTGCATACTCTGTTCTTCAAATAAGATTTTATGTAAGTGTTAATTCTAATGCACAAACAGAGTATTCAGATAACTTTACTTTTGATGTTTACAATCCTTTCAATGTATATATATTTTTTATGAACTGGGATAGTTTTTTACTGTCAGTCTTATTCGGATATCAGTGATAGATATGTTAGTATAAATGGTGAAAATGTTAAAATGTTATCTTTATTATTTAACGTAACTTGTTCTGTAATAACCTACTACTTCACGAAATGTTAGGTGAATATTGACCAATTATATGCTATTCGGGTTTTTAGATTATAATAATCCTAGTGTTCACATCCTCTGTTAAAACTCTCATCAATTATAGGAGTTAAAGAACTGTTGTTTTAAACACTTATTCTAGACCGAATCATCGCACATTATGTATGAGGGTAAGTAAACTAAAACATTTTGAGATGGTGGAGAAGATTTGTAGCTGAGGTGAATGATTTTGATGGAGTTTCGTTCTCTGAGCTGGAAAAAGAACGATAAAAGCTCTCTCTATTGATCAGTAGCGTAATATGTCCTTTAGCAGATTGGCCAAAATATGATGTTGATTTAACAAATGTTAACATCTAGAAATACCCGTGTTTTTCTGTACAAAAATGAATCTTTGCAGTAAACTGTTTTTCGCTTATTTTGCCCCTTTTCTCTCGAGTTCAGGTCACTGCGTAGTTCTAGCTTGCGAGTTACCAAAATAGCTTAGGAACCGAATAAAGCGTTCAAATTAACAAGACTTATCAGTAGCGACGGGGATGGGATAAAAATTCCCAGTTACATAAAGTAGCATTAAAAGAGCCAAGACAATAAGCATTCAAACGACAAATTATAACAATTGGCGACGGGGATGAAAAAAAATTCTGAACCTTCAATCTTCAAATTATTGAATCAAGGTCAGCCTGTAATTTGACGAAATTCAGTGTAATTATTTTGAGCAACCAGCATACACAATTTTCGCCGATGTCCTTCAACGACATTGATTGTTAATTATTCATGCAGTATTTTTCATTACCATGCTCATCATTCAGAAAATGGCTATCTCTTCCGACCAATTACAGTTACTATTTGAGCGGCAACAGCTGGGTATCAAAAAGAACCAGTTGAATGTTTTAGACAATTTAAGCACACGCTGCTAAATCATCCATGTCTTGGAGATGTGACAGAAGTTGATAAATTAATTTCTAATTTGCATACAGAGCTGGAAAGTAACTTCAGAACGTATGAACGTGTCGATGAAACCCTCGGTGAATCTTTGATAAGCGGTAATATAAACGAATTAGTAGCAGTCATTATTGATGCGCCCAGTGATCCAGAAATGTCCATTTCAGAGACATGCCGTGGGTTCAAATCCCATTGTCCCCGAAACATCATGTACAAACACTGGATTGTCCAGCTCTCAGAAAGACGATGTCTTATTAAATGCTCATGAAATTATTGCAGTACCAGCCCACAAAGAAACAGAAAATGAATCATGAATCATAATGAAGACAGTTGCATTAAATGGAGCTCATCATTCTACGACAAAAGTTTCTGATGAATGCACTTATTGGGGTTATCTAGTTGTTTACCAGATATGAGTTATTTTAGTGACTCACATGCTTTTGACCAATTTTTTTACAAAAATGTGGAAAATTTGTCAGATGAATCAAACGATGATCAAGAACCTAATAAAATTTTGATAGATGCTGATTATTCTAGTGATCGATTATCTAATAATGAAATTTTCAAGAGATCTGATGAAAATGTTTCACAAGAATCAAACCCTAATGACCTCATATCTAGTGTCGCTGATCCTCACCATCTAGTCAGTCCTAGCGGAGTCTCTACTCAATGCGGGAAATATGCTTTAAATAGAGTCAAATTAACTGTAGCTTGGGAGTATGAGCACCCAACATTATTTCATGGGGGAGGATGAAGTCATAAAATCTAAAGATGGATCTCAACATAGAGTTTTCAAAAAAGAAGGGGAGGTGATAGATTAAAAGAAAAGTCAATTTTAGATTGATTTACTCATTATGAGTTTTGTTCAAGGTTACTTCCGTTTTGATTCAGTGTAATGATTACTCAATGTAGTATTTGTTTTCTTTCCTCGTATGATATTTTATTCTGTATAATATGTGATATTCTTGTATTCAATGGATATGAACTATGCTCAGTATGTGATTTGTTATAACTCTAAGTATTTTTCATATATGTGATTTCAAATAATATATAAATGAGTGTATTTTCTACTAGAGTCGTCGTCGTGTTTTGGGGTTAACAAACCATCACTTATACCAGTGTTTGTGTTCTTACTTTTGCGTCGTGGGAATTACAGAGGTCCCTCGTTCCTAGTATAAGTGATAAGCGTTTCCGACATAACAATCAGTGACGACCAGATACAAAAAGTAGTATTAAAAGAGCTAAGAAAATAAGCATTCAAACGACAAATTATAACAGGAAATAAAATTGATCATTTAAATTCCAAAAAAATAAAAGTTGAATTTAATGAATACTTTCTGACCTAATCTTGTACATTCTTGTTTGTAGTGACTATGAATGAATTTACTTCTGCATCCATTGCTATTTATGTATGAGGATGACTTTTAAATAATGTTGCAAACATTCGTTTACTTTAATAATAGTAAGTAATATATCTTACATAAACAAAATATAACATTAGGTAATCTAGACTAAGCAACTCATGAGAATCCAGAACTAGATTTCCGTAATTACGTTTAGTATTTCATTCAATAGTGAGAAGATGTAAATTTTCGGAATCGGGCGTTCGTGAAGATATTTAACTCCATATTTTATACCAAACAAACATATAAAATAATGCAATATAGTCAGTCAGTAACAACGTAGAACTTCATACGTACGTATATCAGTTCGAGTCGCCACACCACATTAGCACAGACATGCAGTTGTCCATTCAAATCACATAGTGGTCGAGGTGGTAAGAGTACAATCAGTAATCTGAAAGAATAAGGTTTGAAGATGTCATTCAAGAATTATAATCCAGTGAAATAAATTTGGAAAGAGAAAAAAAAGGACATGAAGAACTCAGAAGATTAGAATTTGGAAGAACGTAAAGAGTGAATGAACCTGCGCCATTGCAAACGATTTTAAGTCATGTCATTCAGGGTCTCTAACCATCGGCTGCTATCATCTCGCGGTCCCCAACCAGGTAATCTACACCTATCAACATGAATCAGTCCACTTGTCAGTAACTTCATGGACTTGTGCCATGTTTTGGTCTGGCCGCCGCTAGCTTTCTTCCAACCTACTCCTATACCACTGAACATCGCACGTCGAGGCAGTCGGTGGTTGGGCATACGTAACACATGTCCCAGCCATCTCAACTGATGAAGTTTCACTACTTCATCAATTGATTTGCCATCCTTACCTAGTACCCGTTTCCTAACAACTGCATTACTTACTCGATGGTCCCAGGATATACGAGCAATGCTTCGAAGACACCAATGATCAAATACTAGTAAAGTAAGAATATCCCCCACTCTTATTGGCCATGTTTCACTGCCATAAAGTAGGACGGAACGAACGGCTGCTCAGTAAACACGTCCTTTGTTTGGTAGATGGATATCTCGCCTACTCCATAAATGACACAGGTTGGCATGTTGGCTGAGATTTCGTCACACACCAGACCACAAGGGCTGATGAGACTTCCAAGATAAGTGAAGTAGTGGACACGCTCAACTACTTCACTCCCTATCATTAGTTCGGGTGTCAATGCAACCCAATCCTGAAGCAACACTTTGCATTCGAGGGAGGGAATCACATCCCGAACATGCTTGCATTGTTGCTTAGAGTGGTCAGAAGACTCTGCATTTTGTCAGCATCCTCACCAAATCAAACTATGCCATCAGCATATTTTAAGTCAACAAGTGAATCTCCCGCCAGAAGTTCAACCCTTGGAAATTTAGATGAGGTAAGTGTTATCTCCTAAAAGTACGTCAACGACAAAGTTGAACAAGAATGGAGAGAGTGGTCAGTCCTGACGAATACCACTTGAGGTAATCAGTTTTGATGACAGTTCGCCATAAGCCCTCACTCGAGTGGAGAGACTTTATAAGGTTAATGTACTTCTTTGGTACTCCTTTCAGTGGCAAACACTGCCACCGAACCTCACGATCAATAGAGTCGAATGCCGCCTTAAGATCGAGAAGTACTACGATTGTGGAGCATCTGAATGTGTGTTTATGTTCTAGGTCCTGACGTAGTGTGGATATCTGGTCTAAACAACCACGTCCAGGTCGAAAACCAGCCTGAATTTCTCTAGTCTGTTCTTCACGAGCTTTGGTTAGGCTTCGAAGAATTATTGAAGCTAATATTTTAGACACTATATTATTCAAAATGATTCTCCTGTGATTGTCACAAGAGGACTTTTGTCCTTTCTTATAGACCGGCACAATCAGTGATTGAGACCAGTCAGATGGGATTACGTCCAGTTCCCAAGCTAAAATGTTGATCGCTTAAATATCACTCGATGATTCATTCTCTTCCTCGTGTATTTATGTATGCCAATCCTATTACTAGCCTTTGTTTTGCCTTGCTGTGCCTCTATGTAATTTGACTATAAATTTGTCTATGTATTTGCTCAAACATACATATTCGCCTCTACGCATCAAATTCGCTTGATGTGCTTATGGCTTTTTGATCTGTGCTATCCACTAATAAACTGTAATTGTCGATTCTCATTGCCTCCTGATTTCATACACTGTTGAAATTTAAATAATAACGATTACAAGATTGATTGATAAATGAAGCAAACCACTACAAGTAATCTGGTCCCTGAAAAATTACAATAATATTCATATCAAACGCGCTAATTACGAACTTTCGAAATTAGTCCTTCTTTTTTGAAAAAGTACGTGCTTTTAGTTACCTACGAGATAGTTCCTAAAGCTTTGTTTATCACTCTCCCTGATGATCGTTATTAGATGAAACTATAGGTGTATGAATTTCAGAAGACGGTATGAATGGTCAACTACATTTTCATACTGAACAGCGCTGATCAGTAAGCCACAAGCTCACAAAGCAAATACGAGTAGAAGTGCGAATACAAATAAATGCGATCGAGCGCATACAGATGTGAATGAAGAGACAAATGAATTAATAAAATTCAGGTGCATACAAATATGAAAGCGAAAGAGTCATCGAAAGATATAAACAACAAACATTTAATCTTGTAAGAGGGATATGTGTGGAAGCTCTTACACGTAATCAAGCATACAAATGCATACAGACATGTTAACATTGTAGAGATATACGAATTGTTATTGTTACATGGCTATTAAATAACTTAATTGAAAGGCTTGACAAAACTAAACATAAACAAACTCGAGTGTAAATGAGCTGAGATATCCTAGACAACATTGATCTCAAGGTGTCAGAAATTTGTGTGCATTTTGTTTCATATGTCTTAGTTCAATGATCAATTCCTAAAAGTCCTTACCGTGCCCCTGAACTAGGGTTCGACTTCATTTCGAACGAGACTCTAGTAGGAAGAAAAGCGCATCTTCGATTCCACTGCTAGCCACCGTCATCTCAACTTATAAGGGTTCTGATAATCTGATAATTACTTTTGGTCATTTCGTGAAGTATTTTGTGACTGTAACCAGCTACCACCGATGGTTGTGTAAGGGGATCTAATGACTTTATAGATAATCTGCATGTATTCTGACTACATACTGCTGTTTCTTATCTTATTTCGTCAACCATTAAAGGTCTTGAGAGCAAAGTGATTTTAGTATCCGAAGTTCCCAATGAAAACAAACAATTATCAACTGAATTTTCATGTTCGGAGAATCTCCTGTATGTTTAGATTTACGTTATTTTTTATCAACCAGTATTACTACTCATTAACGAACAACTTTGGTTTGTATGTTTAATGCTCTCTATTACATCGCGTTGCTGGCCTAATTAGTGTTTCAAATTTTTCACTCTTCATAAATATGCTTCAGAGTAAGCTGAAAATAGTTTTCTTATAATAACAAACAAGCTCGTCGCATAGCTTATTTACACTCATCAGTTTTTAGAACATAGTTTCTGACTCTTGGTAGATCGTTTGATGCTTCTTATCGAAATATACATGTCACCAATCTTTGCTCATGATGAATTTTCAATACGTATAATTCGTACAGTCATTGATGTGCGTTTGAGAAGGCGTATGATCCAACTCAATTTATCAAGGGTGAATCGATATTCATAGTCAAACAAGAATATATTATAGATACATAATGAGTAAGATAAATAACTAGCACATATACGATCATATAAAAAACAGTCAGGAATAATAAGCGAATAAGTGACAGGGTAAAAATGTGGTTTGAGAAGAATGAGTAGATTCGTCCCCTTGGTTTGCGTTTTTATTCTTACTTATTTTGGCCTTTACCGTGAACATATCATCAGTTCAAAACAATTATCAAAACATGCAAAAAGACTTTGCTTTACAAACGACACTACACAAAACTTATTTTTACGTAATCAACGATAATAAGTGGATAATATTATTCCACTTAGTAATGATCATTACTGTTATTATACAATACTGTTTATTATTCCGAATTCCAGTATTATATTACACTCAATTTATTTTTCAGCTAACCGCCCAACAGAGAATTTACTTGACCTGCTAGTTGTACGATATTATCATTGTCTAATTTATTAAACAGCTAAATCTTGGAGATTCATAGTAAAATTGCATTTTCAGACAACGATAAATAAACTTCATAATATTGTGGTGCATCTGTTATACAGGAAATTTTCTAGATAACAGGTTTATATCATAATGTGAAACATAGGTTACAGTAAACACCATCAGTAACTTGGGAATCATCCGGTAGTGGCATAGCTTCGTTAATCAATCACTTTAATAACCGTCATATAACATATATCTCAAGATTTTTGAAATCAAAAGGCAATCAGAATCGACAATTACAGTTTATTAGTGGATAGCACAGATCAAAAAGCCATAAGCACATCAAGCGAATTTGATGCGTAGAGGCGAATATGTATGTTTGAGCAAATACACAGACAAATTTATAGTCAAATTACATAGAGGCACAGCAAGGCAAAACAAAGGCTAGTAATAGGATTGGCATACATAAATACACGAGGAAGAGAATGAATCATCGAGTGATATTTAAGCGATC